CAAAGCCTCAGAAGCGCGGGAACCCGCCCGGTGCCCCTGGTCTGCTGGAGACGGTCTCCAGCAGACCAGGGGCACCGGAGCAGCTTACGAACGGGGCTTTCTCGCCCCGACTTCCGGGGCGAGAAAGCTCCGTTCGTAAGTGCGGATCCGACATAAGTCGGATCCGCGTAAGTCGGGGACTGCCTGTACTACCAAGTTTTGCCATGACAAAACAGAGTACTTACACTGCAATGCAAATTTTGTTAGGAAAAAAACTCAGTATTGACAACAAAAAAACTTCCACCCCATGAGACATTTTTTTTCTTTTCCCCTCCCTTTTTGTTGACACAGAGTTGGTGTAGACTCTGTTTTGTCAACAGAACTGGCTTCCACTAGTGTCCCACAATGTCTGCCCTGATGGCTTTGATCAGAGTTTTGATCTCTGCCGTCCTGCTTTTTCAAAGCTCTGGGAAGTATCTTGAGAGCTGAGTGAACTGCTCCCTTTGAGGAACAAACAAAGAACAAATCATTGGAATGCTTCTCTTCTCTCTACATTAGGAAAACAGCAGGCATGCTGCTGCTGCTGCAAAGAGCGAGGCAGATAAGATGCTGTACTGCTTTGAGTACTGCATGCTGAAGAATGTTAAGAGCTACTCATGATGCTGCTCCCAGTAGCTGAGAGTGCTGTGGGAGAACTGAGAGAATCCCGAAATGCACAGGGATCAGCTCTGCCTTTCCACAATACTGCTGTGTGGGACACATACCCACAGTACACTGCTTACACTGTTGATGATGGTGCCCTCAATATACACATGATTTGTTGATAGAGAGATTAAGTGTAAAAACACTCTGGCGATTTTTATTTTGTTGACTTTTGGGTTTTGCCAAATTTTGTCAACAAAACTTGGTAGTGTAGCTATACCTTTAGGAGGGACGCTGAAACTATCCAGATCATTAGATGATAATTGGTCTTTTCTAAATGTTTGTGCTAGCAATAAAGGATATTTGATGTGATGATGGTCATTAAATATTCTCCTTTGCCCGCAAGTGTAACACTTGAAGACTGAATTGCCACAGTTCTCTCCTGAGGTCCAATAGAGTACCTGATACCATTGTTTGGTAGTTTTTTGGCGAATGCTGACTTTGTAAGGTCAGCTATTGCACCTATCATATAATTGGGTTTTTAATTACTAAAAAGGGGCTGTGCAGCTGAGTTTTTTCTCTGTCCCTGGGTTCTAGTAGGTGCTTTAATGTGTCTTCTATCAGGGAAGTTGTCTGTAAGCTAGATAACTTTTGTTTCAGTTTGCAGTGGGTGTTAACTGTTATGCCAATTTGGACATACATTATGTGTTTTTCTTTATGGCTGTTTGTTGCTAGACTCTGGCACATCACAGTTGGGTTTTGGAGCTCTGGAGCTCTCACAAAGCCAGGACTTTGAGGGACACTCAACACTGAGTGAAGAGGGCACAGGGCACCAGCTTCAGCCAGTGGGCACTGTCCTTACCTCTTCTAATCCCATGAGGAATGACTCTAATGAGGGTATGTAAACGGTCTTGTTCCTAGAAATCCTTTCCTTAGATGTAGCTTTCTCTGTTTTATTGTTGTAGATTGCATGTTTCCTCTGATAGAAGTGCAAGATTAGAAATGATATTAAGGCTGCCCAAATCTTGAGATGGGCAATTCTGCCTTTGTTCCCTTTGGGCTTGTTCCTTCAGCCTTGTGTTGCCCAAGTGTCAACATCTGTGTCCTTCTGTGTGTGCCTCTTTTCTTAACTATTTTCTAACAATCCAGAAAGTCTGGCACTTAATCTGTTCTTTGCTACAGCCCTCATAGTACCTGTCTTGCTTTGTCTATTAGTGGACCTTCTAGATTGGGGCAGGTAAAATAAGGGCCAGCTCCAGCCCATCAAGCCTTTGGATCTGGCCTGTGGCTTGCTCTGCTGGGCCCTTCAGGCAGGCTCCCTGCCTGCCACAGCCCCAAGCTGCTCAAAGCAGTTGGCTGCTCCATGTGCCTCTCTGCTCTGCATACTGTGGGAAAGGGGTTTCCAGCCAATGGAAGCTGCAATTATGGTGTTGGGGCTGGGGCAGTGCGTGAGGTCTCTTCCCCCTCCACTCCCTGCTGGTGTGCTATGCAGAGAGGCACATGGAGCAACCCCTGGGGTTCCGCAGGCAGGGAGCCTGCCTGAGGGTCCTGCTGGGCTGCTGGCCACCTAGATAAGTGCCTCCCAGTTAGTGCCTGCATCTGGCACCCCACCCCATCCTAAACCCCTCTGCAACCCTCTTTCACCCCAGGTCACAACTCCCTCCCAGACGCTACCCCTCCTACATTCCTCTCTTAGGTCAGAATCATCTCCTGTACCCCATTACTGACCCTGTTTCCTGCCCAAGGTCACAACCCCTTTCTTCTCAAACTCCCTCTCAGATCCTGCACCCAACCTCCATCCCAGATCCTGAACACATCCCCCACAGGAAAGTGTGGCTCTTGTCCACCCCTGTTCCAGATTGTCAATTCATGACAGGGTTGTGTTGATAGCTGTGTAATGTGACGTCTCAAGCACACTTGTGCTTGTCAGCACAGATTATTTAAATTGAGTAACAAATGTTTTTGGTGTCTCCTGCTAGAGCTGCATGTAGTTGAGAGTGGAACTCTGTACCTTGGAGAAAGTTACACTGGTGCACAGCAAGGGAAGTCTGAAAGGTAAAACAACAGCCTTCTATGTGGGTATCTTGGGTGGGGCATGCGGATGAAGCAAAGCTGAGAAAACAGCAAGTGTTACTTCTTGAACTTCCTGTAGCACAAGTCGCTGCAGGGACTGGCCTGGTAATAATGGCTGAGGGGACTCGGATCCTGGCTGGAAAGGAAGAGTGTAATGGAAATGCTGTAGGAGCATTAAAGGAAAAATGACTTTTTAATATGGCAGTGCAGTAGGCTAGCGAAAAATGCTAGTCTTTTATTTTAACTTTAGTGAGCATTGTATTTGTTAAAGGACATTTTGAAGTTTATATCTCTGTTTGCCCTCTTTTGCAGGAATGGGTTGTGATTGCTGAGCAGTCTGTGTTGTTGATACTTCCCATCAAGGTATTGGAGAGTTTCACTGTTGTAAGTTTTATAACTGTTTAACAAATAAAGTTAGTTTATTAATAAATTCTTAATTGTAAAACTTACAACACCAGAACTCTTCAATTTCACAGTTAGGTGGCAAAGCAGATTTTTAGATTCTGTTTGCATTGTCCCAATTTTTATGATGACAACTTCCTGTTCAATAAGTAATGTAAAAATTATATTTAAAACTTGTTTTTGCAACTTTGTAATGAGCTGAAATCAGAACCTTGAGTTTACAATTAATTATAAAGTGTTTAACTCTGCTTTAATTTGAGCTCTACTTACTCCCACTCTATTCCTTTTGAGCATGTATATTTTGACATGGGTAAAAATACTTTGTCCCTGCTATCACTGTGGTGAGGACAAGTGAATAGATTTTTTTTTTTTGGGGGGGGGGTGCCTGGGCTGGTAAACATTCATGATAGTTCTGCAATACTAGTATAAATTGAATTTCCCAGGTCAGAGGTTATGTCTAGCTCTCCCAGAATTCCACAGCAACACAAAGAGATCAGCAGGATACAAATGTCTGTCTGCGGTGGGCTTGAAAGTGGGTTGCGGGCTGAGAAGTCGCCTGATCCTGGTCTGCAGGAGTCAGAGATTGTGTCAACTCAGGAAGATATGTTTGCTCAGAGCCACACAACAGGTAAAAACATTGAATAATACCAAAGTAGCTATCCCAAGGGAGCAGTCACTATTCTGTTTTTGAACTGGGGACTATGCATATGTCACAGAGTGACTGCCCCTTTAAGAGGAAATGGGGTACTGCACAACTGGACTGATTGTCTGCTGACCAGCTGGATTTGAGAAGGTGCCTGGGGTTTATACGGGTGGCTAACGGCAGCTGTCTGTAAACACTATAGGAGTAGGAAAGCTCCTGTAAGGCTTTGAGTCAGCAGGGGGAAAGGCATCAGAGTGGAAAGGTGGTGGAGAAAGCCAAGTTCTAGGGGAGAGCAAGACGACACCCTTGACAGGAAGAGCTATGTCCAGCTTGGATTTGGATCAAAAAAATTGAACTGTAGCAAGATGACAGACCCTCAGGGGAGGGGTGGGACTAGTTGAAATTGGCATGAAGACTTCATAGGTTTAACTTCTCTTTTGAAAGACACTCTGCAGAATTTAAACTGGATCTCAGATGGCAAAACGTTTTGACTGTCGGGGATGTGTGCACTTTCTAAAGACATCACTGGGTAGATGTGCCCTTTGACAGCATCTTACAGTGAAGCAGATTACAATGGGCAGACTGCTTTGGGTGTGTTTAATTAAACTAATGTTTTTGTTCATATGAAAGTAGTTTGGAAAGCAAAACAGCTGTCTGCAGGGAGAGCATTAAATGTTCTCATTGTTCTGAGAGGTGAATGATGATAATGCAATTAAAATGGTTGAGTATACCTCCATTTTCCCTGCACTCCTCCTCCTATCCCCCCAAAAGCATGGCAGTGAAGCTGTTAATCCTTTTATGTGGCACACTAGCAAAAGATGGGCACGTATTTTATTCATTGTCCATGTTGGCGAAACTTGCTCAAAAATTCCTATTCAGCTGGTGTTAAAATTGGTAAAAGTCTTAGTGTAAAGTAGGAATGTGAACGACTAGTTGACTGTCCAATACGCAAATGCTTATCGATCAGAGGCAGCAAACGGGGGGGGGAGGAAGAGGAGGAGGTACTTCAAAGTGGCAGTGCTGCGTGGAGCCTGGGACCAGGCCCTGGGCTCTGTGCAGTGCTGCAGCTTTGAAATGCTGCGTGCAGCCTCGGGACATGCCAGCTGGCCCCAGGTTCCATGCGCAGCTGCCACTTGGAAGTACCTTCTCCTCTTTCCCCCATCCCTTGCTGCCTATTTCTGATTGAGTCAACAAGGTGGGGGGTGTAGGGAGGAGCGTATCGGGGATAGGTGACTAGCTGTTCACATCCCTACTTTACATTAGCACTTTTACCAATTATAATGCCAGCCGAATTAATAGGAATTTTTGGGCAAGTTGCTACACTTCAAAGGCAGACACACCTTATCAACTATTGAATAGTCAATGCAAAAATGTATCATAGAATACTAGGACTGGAAAGGACCTCAAGAGGTCATCAAGTCCAGTCCCCTGCCCCCATGGCAGGACCAAAAACCGTCTAGACCATCCGTGATAGACATTTATCTAACCTACTCTTAAATATCTCCAGAGATGTGGATTCCACAACCTCACTGGACAATTTATTCCAGTGTTTAACCACCCTGACAGGAACTTTTTCCTAATGTCCAACCTAAACCTCCCTGGCTGCAGTTTAAGCCCATTGCTTCTTGCTCTATCCTCAGAGGCAAGATGAACAAGTTTTCTCCCTCCTGCTTATGACACCCTTTTAGATACCTGAAAACAGCTATCATGTCTCCCCTCAGTCTTCTCTTTTCTAAACTAAACAAACCCAATTTTTTTCAGCCTTCCTTCATAGGTCATGTTCTCTAGACCTTTAATCATTCTTGTTGCCCTTCTCTGGACCCTCTCCAATTTCTCCACATCTTCCTTGAAATGTGGTGCCCAGAACTGGACACAATACTCCAACTGAGGCCTAACCAGCACAGAGTAGTGCGGAAGAATGACTTCTCGTGTGTTACTCACTACATACCTGTGTCAATTCGATTAGTCAATTACTCGAAATTTAACATCCCTAGTGTAAAGGTTCCAGCAACCAGAATAATTTTTATTGTATTTCAGTTAGACTTGCTTTTCAGTAGATTTGGCAATTTTTGGCTCTATGAACATGGATATATAGAAGAGGAATAGAGAGGTTGTCTTTATGCAGCCCTGGTGAGACTCTTACTGGAATATTGTGTCTCCTTGTATATAAACTACAAAAGGATATTGTAAAATGGAGAGGTTTCAGAAGAGTCACAATAAAGAATTGAGGTCTGTAAAACATGCCTTATCATGAGAGACTTAAGACATTCTACTTAACTAATTAAAAAGAAGGTTTAAAACACTACTTGATCATGGTTTAAGGACCAGGTTAAAAAAAATACACTGGTTTAACTAAAAGGTGCAATTTTTTTTTCTTTTAAGCAACTGTATTTAAATTGGTATAACTTTGTTAAACCTTCTGGATGTAAAATCTGCTAATCTAACTAAAAAGGTAAAAGCAATAAGTTTCCTTTTTTGTTGTTGCTGTTATTGCCAGAGCCTTGTCACAATAGTACTCCCACCAATTCTAACATTGATTTGGCTGACCTTGTATTGGAACTGCTGATTTTTTTTTCTTAAAATTCCTTAATTTAAACATTTATAATTCAGTATGATGGTGCAGGCTGCTTTTGCCAGCCAGATATGGATTTATCTCTTAGCCATGTGATGCTTCTATTTCATGTGGCTTGGCTTATGGAGATGCAGCTCCAAAATCCATTGTCTGTCCTGCTGACAATATTGGTCTTTGTCAAACTGGGAGGTAACTTTGCAGAAGTGAAAATCATCCCGCATGATTGTATCTGGATAACTTGCTTTATTATAATCCAGTCTGTTTCCTCTTGCTCCAAATAGCTTCAGAGAGTGACTGTATCATAACCAGAGAGGAAGGTTCCGTGGCATGCACCCCTGCTGACACTCTGCACCTCCTGCATCTCTCTGGGCAGAGGTCCCTTGGTCAGGAGAGTATTTCCATGTAAGCAGCAAAAAAAAAAAAACCTCAGCACACCACCAAAAATCCCACAACACAAGCACCAGCACCTCCTTATATGCATTAGTCCTGCCTGGGATAAAAGTCAGAGAGATAACAGTCCAACACAGCATGTGGGTAGGTAGGGGTTAAATCAGACAGATTAAATTGCAGATGGGTTTTCTGCAAATGGAAGTCTTTGATGCTCAATAGCTATAATTCTAAGCTTTTCACACTGGTTTCTATGGGGGAAAGACACTGGACTTGTTAATAAGCTTTCAGCCTTCTGCAGGGAGAATAGGAGACCCTACAGGGTATTCTCTTAGGTGAGGTAGGACTTCACAATCCCTGTGAGAGGATTGTACTCTTTTTGGCTTTTGATTCTATTCAGGTCACACCAAGTAGCAGTCTGTGGAGGAACTGTAAAATCTGGTCAGTCTTAGACTCCAAAGTGATAACTAAAAAATTAACCTTGCATTAGTTCTCCTGTACTCCTAATGGCTTTCTTGGTGAAGGTCTTCCCAACTCCATGCACGCTTCAGGCCCCCCTTGCTTGCTTGATTTGAAATAAACATCAATGCAAAGCTGACTGAAGTATCCCCTTTTCAGAGTGTCCATGTATGGCTGAAAAGACGGTGATGTAAAGAAGAGGGTTTAAAACTTGTTAGGTGTTAGGAGCTACTAGGAGGAGGAGAGCTTACACAGAAGGGAATAGCTCAATTTTATTAAGAGGAGCCATACTTCTGATGCAAAAACATCCTTGTTAATTTTCTTTGGCTGGAGTGGAGGCATATTATGTTAATTTAGGAGAAACGGCGGGGAAGTTGACAGGTACTAAAGACGACCGTGTTCAGTGATGACACAAAGATAACTCTTCTGGTAAAGGCTAGAGCAGATTGTCTTGTGTGACCTGTGAGTTTCCTATTCCTGAACATAGCCATTCACTTGATCTTACTTTTACCAAACACTAATCTCTTCATCACTGACTCCTCCCAATCTGGTCCTCCCAGTCACCTGGTTTCTCTCTGGGTATCTTGTCTACTGCCCACCATCTTATGTTTCTGAGACTTCTAGACCATCAGTGTTAGTGACTTCTTTTCCCCTCCCATCCTGGTCCTCCGTGCTGTTTTCCCATTATGTGGTTGTTGCGTCTTTTCATTCTATGCTCTCCTCCACTCTTGCCTCCTTTGCCCCTCTCTTCTATCACAGGGCCCGTGCTAGCTCTTATCCGTCATCCACTGCCACATTCACACAGCAGAACGTTTCTAACACCAGGTTTGTGACCATGTTCACTTTCTCCACTACAGTTCTTTCCTCCAGTTCTGCTACCATTCATGGGAAGCACCTCTGTCTACTCAGATACCTGTGTGCACAGTCCCACTCATCTGATCACGCCTTTGACTCCTTTCTCATACCTTCCTCAGCCCCACTTCACTCCCTACACCGAGTCTTACTGATTTCTCTCCCCACCCTTGGGAAAACTGCCAAAATTTGATATGATGTCTTTTCCCCTCCCCCACTTTCTGCATTGTTCCACCACTGAAACAAGCTTTTCATGCTCTGGTGTCGGCTTCTAACCCTTCAATCTACCCTAGTACCCCCTAGCTCCCAGTGTCCCTTTCACCCGTTCTTCTCTGCACCCTTTGTCTTTCTTAAACTCTCTTCTCTATCACAAACAACTCCTTATCTTTGATCCCCAAGTTGTTCTGCAGCTACTCTTTTTCTTCCCATCACATGTAAATTCATTGAACAGACTATTTGCAGTTGCTGTCTGGAGTTCCTCTCTTCAAATTCTATCCTTGACTGTCCCTAGTCTGTGGTGTTTTTTTTTTTTTTTTTTTTTCTTTCCCTTGCACATCATCATGTTTTTCTCAGCTACAATTTGGAACTGGTACTCCATAGAATCATAGAATAATAGGACTGGAAGGGACCTCGAGAGGTCATCGAGTCCAGCCCCCCACCCTCAAGGCAGGATCAAGCTCCGTCTACACTATCCCTGACAGATGTCTATCCAACCTGTTCTTAAATATCTCCAGAGAGGGAGATTCCACCACCTCCCTTGGCAATTTATTCCAATATTTGACCACCCTGACAGTTAGGAATTTTTTCCTAATGTCCAATCTAAACCTCCCCTGCTGCACTTTAAGCCCATTACTCCTTGTCCTGTCCTCAGAAACCAAGAGGAACAAATTTTCTCCTTCCTCCTTGTGACACCCTTTTAGATATTTGAAAACCGCTATCATGTCCCCCCTTAATCTTCTTTTTTCCAAACTAAACAAGCCCAGTTCATGAAGCCTGGCTTCATAGGTCATGTTCTCTAGACCTTTAATCATTCTTGTTGCTCTTCTCTGTACCCTTTCCAATTTCTCCACATCTTTCTTGAAATGTGGCGCCCAGAACTGGACACAGTACTCCAGCTGAGGCCTAACTAGTGCAGAGTAGAGCGGCAGAATGACTTCACGAGTTTTGCTTACAACACACCTGTTGATACAACCTAGAATCATATTTGCTTTTTTTGCAACAGCATCACACTGTTGACTCATATTCAACTTGTGGTCCACTATGACCCCTAGATCCCTTTCTGCCATGCTCCTTCCTAGACAGTCGCTTCCCATCTTGTATGTATGGAACTGATTGTTCCTTCCTAAGTGGAGCACTTTGCATTTCTCTTTATTAAACCTCATCCTGTTTACCTCTGACCATTTCTCTAACTTGCTAAGGTCATTTTGAATTATGTCCCTATCCTCCAAAGAAGTTGCAACCCCACCCAGTTTGGTATCATCTGCAAACTTAATAAGCGTACTCTCTATCCCAATATCTACATCATTGATGAAGATATTGAACAGTACGGGTCCCAAAACAGACCCTTGCGGAACTCCACTTGTTATCCCTTTCCAGCAGGATTTAGCACCGTTAACAACAACTCTCTGACTACGGTTATCCAGCCAATTATGCACCCACCTTATCGTGGCCCTATCTAAGTTATATTTGCCTAGTTTATCAATAAGAATATCATGCGAGACCGTATCAAATGCCTTACTAAAGTCTAGGTATATGACATCCACCGCTTCTCCCTTATCCACAAGGCTCGTTATCTTATCAAAGAAAGCTATCAGATTAGTTTGGCATGACTTGTTCTTCATAAACCCATGCTGGCTATTCCCTATCACTTTATTACCTTCCAAGTGTTTGCATAGGATTTCCTTAATTACCTGCTCCATTATCTTCCCTGGGACAGACGTTAAACTGACCGGTCTGTAGTTTCCTGGGTTGTTCTTATTCCCCTTTTTATAGATGGGCACAATATTTGCCCTTTTCCAGTCTTCTGGTATCTCCCCTGTCTTCCATGATTTTTCAAAGATCATAGCTAAAGGCTCAGATACCTCCTCTATCAGCTCCTTGAGTATCCTGGGATGCATTTCATCAGGACCTGGTGACTTGCTGACATCTAACTTTCCTAAGTGATTTTTAACTTGTTCTTTGTGTATCCTATCTTCTAAACTTACCCTCTCTCTGCTTGTATTCACTACCATCCTCGAGATAAGATACAAAACAATGAATAGTAGGAATGATTTCTGTTTGTCTTCTCATAATAGAAAAAGTGAGAGGACCTAGTTAAACTCAGTCTGCAGTTTAAAGCTGTTGAGGAAATTTTTGAACAGTGCATTACTGATTTGTGAAACCTGTTGACTTAATTGCTGCTTAAGGCAAGCACTTAGTAAAAGTCAGACTGTGCAAACCATGAGGAGTTAGGTACAGTTTCATTAGGTAGAATAAATAAAGGATACAATGGACTTTAAAGGCTTGAGTTCAATTTACTGCTTCACCACAGACTTTGTGTATGATCTTGGCCAACTCATTTAGCCTGTACGTGTCTGGACCCCATTTGAATAATGGGGTAACAGTATTTCCCTATTACCCCAGGTACTGAGAGGGTACATACATTAAACATTGTGAGGCAGGCATTCAGTACTTTGATAATGGGGAGCACATAAATACCTGAGATAAGGGAATAGGCTTAAGATGCTTTTGGGGGACCTGGCACTGGCTACTATCTAAAGACAGGATGCTGTGCTATATGGACTTTTGGTCTAACCTAGCATGGCTGTTCTTATGCTTCAGAACATAAGTCAATCACTAACTTTCTGGAATTAGGAAAAAAACCTGCCCCAAGTGGAAGTTATTTTGTAACTTTCTACTGCAGATTTCCTTCCACTTTCCTCAGAAGTATCCCCTATTGGCCATTATCTGAGGAAAGATACTGAATTAGATGTCTCCTCCATTCTTGACTGTTCCTATTTGTCAGTATAGGGCTTGTTTCCACATCTATCGTCAGGATACTTTAAATGCGGGCGGAATAAGTAGGATCCTCCCTCTTTTGGGCTCCATGTTGGGATCTGTGGACTGTTGCTGTATGGAAACTTAGCTGCGAGTCCCCTGCCTGTGCTGCTGCATGGTTATGTGAGGGATTTAGGCTGGTTGGCTCGGCTGTCTTAGCTGGTGAACCAGGCTCCTGTTCTGAAAAGCAGGGGCTCTTGTGGAGTAACAGAAATAAGTAAAGCATTAATTGACCTGTGTCCCTTCTCTGCAGTTCTTCAAGCCTAGTTACTCCTTCTCCTGATGCCTTTGGATCCCATCCTCTTATCATCCCCAGCAGTCCCACAGAACAGGAAGAAGCGAAAGGTAAAGCCTCTGTTTATACTGATATGTTTATACTGATACGGTTTTGGCTTCTCCCTGTACATACTCCTCCAACCTGTGTGTAGCTTCCTGTTTGAGAGCTGTAGCTATATTGTAATGTATAAATGCATTGCATTGGAGGGGAATGGGGCTGACACCTAAGTTCCATCAGGCGCGCACCAAGAATTTTAATCCTGCCCACCTCCTCAGCAGAGCCGTGCAGCAGCACTCGCCTTCCTGGGATGTGGAAGGAAAGTGGTGGTGGTGGGCTTGGTGGGGGGGCGTGGTGGCTGCCCAGCTGCTCCTGGGGTTGGGGCTGTGCCATGTGGTGGGCAACTGCAGCGGGCCCCACCCCAGGAGCAGCTGAGCAGCCCCCCCCAAGGGC